AAATTTCTTTATGCCCGTATCAGACTACGCATTGAAAATTGAAGATTGAAGATTAAAGATTGGAATTTGACTAATCAGAATAAAAGAGACTAAAATTTCTTTGTCCTGATTGGTCAAATTTCAATCTTGAATCTTGAATCTCAATCTTCAATGCGTAGTCTGATACGGGCATATGGGTGCGTTCCGTTTCACGCATTGAGTGCATAGATCGCCTGGAAATCTATAATATATGTTACGTGAACTATAGATTTCCAACCGATCTATGCGCTCAATGCGTGAAACGGAACGCACCCTATGCTACATGCTATATGCTCCTGCCCACAGAGAGCCCTGAGTATACTTTGCGCATGCGCACTACAATTATAAAAAAAAAAACTTATTTTGTATGTAATTAAAAAATTTATCAATTCACAAACGTAACATTGGTATATTTGTAAACAAACGATTTTACAGCTATCAATTATCACAAAATCTGTTTTTGTTACTAAAAAGTTCCGGCTAACATCATGACCAAACTAAAATTGCTAATTACAAAAAACCTAATTTGTCACAAACATTAAAAACAGACTCACAATCAATCACAAACGATTTACAAACGAAATACATTCAGAAAAATTAAAAATAATCATATTTAATAATTTCTTCCGGCTAGCTTCATGTAGATCAAGTCATAGACATAGTCTTCTTCTTCTTCTTCTTTCTTTTATGGCTGGTTGGGCATTAGTCGCCCATACACCATTGTTTCTTATGGGTTTGTGAAAAATAAGCAAAATTCCTCTTAAAAGAGGAGGAGTCCAAAAAAAAGGTCCAGACAAAGAACATACGCAGCACGCAAAAACATGTCCGAACCCGACACGTTGTCAGTCGGAACTTCATAGACATGAAGGAAGAGTAAGGAGAGTTATCTCGATAGTGTAGAAAGGAAAAAAGTTGGTCACGAAAAATGTTCTCTATGTGGCCAGGTTTGCCAAATGGAATAATTTGGACCATTTTGTCGCCATCTTGAATATTCGTATATGTATAGTGTTACGTCACAGATTAATAGACAGATAGCTAAAGGCCCGGATGAAGGCAAGACCGGCATTTCCGTGCAACACACTTTGCCCCTTACCGACTCACTTTGCCCCTGGTTTGAATCTGGGCTAAACTCCGTTGACTTTACCAAAAGACTTTGCCCCTGGTTCGAGTCCAGGCTAAATTCCTTTGATTTTATCAACAGACTTTGCCCCTGGTGCGAATCCAGGCTAATTCATCATGAGACGAATGAAAGAGAGAGGCTTGCCTCTTATTGTCTCGCTCGCTCCTGAGATAATGATAAGAGTGAGCGAGACAATGACAAGAGTGAGCGAGAGGAGAATAGCAACGTGCAAAGAAGATTCGAGGATCAAGATCGAGCTTTTATGAATGCTGCTATTCCTCTTTCGCTCACTCCTGTGATTGTCTCGCTCACTCTTATTATTGTCTTATTATCAGAAGCGAGCGAGACAATAATAAGAGCAAGTAAGAAAAAGGACGGCAAAGGCTCGATCTTCGAGTCTTCTTTGGACGTTGCTATTTTCCTCTTGCTTGCTTCTATGATTGTCTCATTCCTATATTCATATATAAGCAGATATATATACAAAATTTCAATCTACTTACTCGATAGGACCAAATATATTTTCTGCAGCAGATTCAAATATAACATTAACCTTATAATGTTATTATATCTTGACGTCGCGAACATTAACCTTATAACGTTATTATATCTTGACGTCGCGATGCTTCTTCTTCTTCTTCCTTTTTTTATGGCCACGTTCGATCCTAGTGGGATCGATACACTCCGGCCAACAACTGGTTGTTGTTCTTCTTCTTCTTCCTTTTTTATGGCCACATTCGATCCTAGTGGGATCGATACACTCCGGCCAACAACTGGTTGTGATATGAGTGAAAATTCAGTAGAGGGGGGAATAGCGTTATATATTTAGATTAATTACTGCGCTGACGTCACTTTTTGTTTTCGAGCAGTGGCTTCAGGATGCCAATCACAAGTAAATATCGGACCACTGTGTGCGGTAAAATGTTGAAAATACTGATCCAGCTTTCTCATGTCCCATTGCTGTACATGTCTATTTTCGGATACAGCAGCAAAAGTATGCGGTTGTTGTGAACAAAATTGAACATCTCTCACCGATTCTGTATTACAAAATATATGAAATATACAAAATTTTAAAATACTAAAAAGATTATTTTGCCGTTATCTTTAACAATTACAAGAGAGCTTTATCTATATATACTATAACATAATTTACCTATAAAAAGTTTTAATGGTTTCTTTTATTCATAAATCAAAACATTTCATAGTACCATCTTGTGAGCCAGATATTAACCACATAGGTTTTTCTCATATGAAAGCTCACTTTATTCACAGTTCTTTTATGATCTATAAATACATGCTCCTGTTTTGACCGAGATTGTTTATTTAAATTCCAAACAACCACTGCACCATTTGTTGCTGCTGTCGCCAGTATATGATCTATAAAATAAAATAATATTGCAACCTAAAAGGCAATCTAATATAGTATACATGAATATAGAATTTTTTAATGTATTTAACACATAGTATTATATTGAGAGAAGATCAACTAAATTAAATATATATAAGTAAGATTGTGACATAAACCAGAAAAAATTCAAACATCTATTTCTTTCTAAATATATATGATAATTGAAGTAAATTGTTAAGTTACCATCATTGAGGTTTCAGGCAACATCATTGCAAGAAAAATTAAGATTTAAATGTTTTCCAACCCGAAGATTGCAGGCTTCTTCAAATTTATTCTCCAGTAGAGTAAATATTTTAAAAACTGCAATATAATTCACACCCATATGATACAGTTATGTTAAAAATATGAAATTTTATTCAAAACTTATGATAAACAATCCGTTATATCATAATTACTAAAATTACAATACACACTCACACGCATACACATCTATCTCTCCAAAAAAATATATTATACTAAAAAAACACACCGTTACGACCGGCTATCACAATCTAGCTATTATCTTCTTCTTCTTTGTTTGATTGGCACAAATTAATTACCCACCACACGGCCAGGTGAGAAGGATTAAGTGAACAATTAGAAAGGATTCCTCTTTAGAAGGGGAAGATAAAACTCAAAAACATGATCCAAAGGACAAACGCGTAACGTGTCCGAACACGTCTGTTCCCGCCCGCGGGCGGCAACAAACTTCTTCTTCTTCTTCTTCCTTTTTTTTATGGCCACATTCGATCCTAGTGGGATCGATACATTCCGGCCAACAACTGGTTGTAATATGAGTGAAATTCAATAGAGGGGAGAATAGCGTTATATATTTAGATTGGAGGATTTGAGGAAGGCATGGAGAGCGTGAATGACCCCAGAGGAGGGGTTTTTAAGAATTTCTTGCGTCTTGAGTGGTGGAATTTTTCCGTATTTCCTTAATTGAGATAAGAGCGTTGTCCTTAGTTTATTGAAGCGAGGGCAACCCCAAAAAACGTGATCCACGTCTTGTCTCGGTGCGCCGCACGGACAAGAGGGATCTGCAACTAAATTGCATCGGTGTAGGCTGTGGTTAAGAGCGTAGTGATCAGATCTAATTCTGCAGCAAGTAACGATGCTCTCTCGGTTAAGTTTAAGCTTGTGGAACCAGGGTTTAAGGGTGATTTCCTCGAATGAATTAAAGTAGTTGGCTCCTTTTTGTCTAGCTTGAGATTTTAAAAATTTGCTTGAGTCTTCTATATATTTCCTCCGAGGAATGGAGTAAAAGTCAGAGTGAGGAAGCTGTTTTGGGGACAACTGACCTTTGGTGATGGCTTTTTTCGCCAGATAGTCTGCTGTTTCGTTTCCTAGAATGCCCATATGTGCCGGGATCCAAACGATGGTGATCTCAAAGCCGGCAGTTTTGATCTGATGTAGTTTTTGTTTAATGGCATAGATGATGTAGTTATATGAATGTGCTAGATTAATTGAGAGAAGAGCTTTGGTAACACTTTGGGAATCGGTGAAGATAACGGATCTGGGGGTGGAGTTAATTGAGATGTACTCTAATGTATGGAGTATGGCGAGTGCTTCAGCAGTAAAGATTGAAGAGAAGGAGTAGGACGCGAATAGTAGTTGCAAATGAGGAGAAGGAGAGTATATGGAGAAACCTACATGGTCGTCTGAATCGTTCTTAGAACCGTCGGTAAAAAAAGATCTACTGGTCGATATCAGCTGGTTATAAATATCAAAGAAGACAAGTTGAGGGATAGGCGCGTTTTTTATTTTCTCCACATCGAATGGGGTGGTGATAATGATTGTGGGAAAAGAGATAAGAGCCTCGTAATCGATGGAGTATACGGCTGGGTAGTCAAATTTGGCTATATAGGGTTTCTTGGGTAGAAGGTTGCAGAAGGACCTGAACAGGAGAAATTTTTCGGTTGGGTTGACCTTCCGTGTCCTGCGTGAATACCAGAGAAGCGCGTAAAGCTTATCTATGAGCGGATGAGAGTCCAGAGAAAAGATCTTTAGATTATATTTAGAGGAAAGGAGATTAAATCTATGCTTCAGGGCTCCGGCCTCGGCAAGGAGGACGTTCGTCGGAGTGGTTCTTCTGAGGCCTAAGCAGTGGCATATGGCGAGGGGAGATGGTATTAATTAAGTTCTGGATTTCGTTGGAGACACCGAAATTGGCGGTGAGCGGCGCGTTGCAGACATTGAGAAATCTGTTTTTAAATCTTTTAATCATTTTCCATAGTGCTGAGATGTTGGTAAAGGAGGTGATGGATTCGCTGAAGGCTCTCAATCCTTTTCGCTTAGATTGTCGGAGAGTTTTTTTAGTTGAGGCTTCTTGTTTTTTCAAGAAAAGATAGTTGAACCGTGAAGGATTGTTGCGAAATGTGCGCAGAGCTTGTTTCCTGAGTTCCACAGCCATATTACAATCCTCATTCCACCAGGGAGCTGGCGGGAATGATTGACGTGTATTATTTCCATTGTTTTTGTTCCTGGTGTGATGGTTAGCATAGGAAGATTTGTTGTTCGACTTTCGTTCGGGAAGTAGAGAGATTATGACGTCTTTTAGAAAGTTGCAAAAGATGTTATATTTCTCGACGGGAGAAATGTGATCTGCCTCTAGGCTATGAGAGAGAACGGAAAGATGACTTAGAAATGAGGCAAAGAGTTTTTTATGGTTAATTTTTGATGTCTGAAGCTTATGCGAGAAGAATGTATGAGTTTTGACTGGATGGCTGATTCTAAATTTTTTCAAAAGGAATTGTATCTTCTATGGCCAGCAGAACACCGCCAGATTTGTTCGAAGGTCCGTCGTGTCGTAATATGTGGTAGCCGTTAAGAAAGAAGCCCTTGTCGGGTGTAAGCGAAGTTTCTGACAAAGCGAGGATGTCATGTTGGTTCGTAATTTGAGTAAAGATTTCCCTTTTATTTAAAATGCCATGGCAGTTCCATTGAAGAAGTGAAAGATGGTTATTGAAAAGATTGTTGGTCATGACCGAGATTGGTACGGAGGCCTTGATTGCTATTAGTATCAAGGTCACGGAAAATTCGAATAACGGCGGGAATAAGTTCAGGTAGATTAATAGATGCGAATAATGTCGACAATTGCGGTAGAAGAGGGGTGATAATGAGGAGAAGATCTTGTAAAGATGATATATTAGAATTAGTGTTTGGTGGCATGGTCGCCAGCGGTGAAGGAGGAGAAGTCCGAGGAGGAGAGGGAGGAACAGAAAAGGAAACATAGGGGCGGGTTGGATTATGCAAGGAAGAGAGAGCGGACGCGTTCCTAGATTGAGCGACTGGGTGTGGTTTAAGATGAGGTAAAGAAAGAGACTTGATTTTTGATTCTCGCGTCAAGTTGGAATTAGTAGTAGTGAGCAATTTGGTACCGGGATCAGAGAATCTTTTAGCTGCTTGAGCATAGGAGGAGAAGGAGGAGGCATATGCGGGGGATGAAGGATGAGACGAATGGTGTCCTTGTGGAAGGTTAGTTGAGCGGCGTGAAGAGGAGGGGAGAGAGGGGAATTCCTCGGAAGATGACGACTATTCGTTGCTATAGGTAGGGGGGGATTTGTTACCTTTGAAGATCTCTCTGGCATCCAACAGTGAAACGTTCCTGTAGGCAGCGAATTTTCTAATTTTCTTTTGGATGGCGAATTCTGGGCAAGTAGGCGAATCAGCTCTGTGACATCCTTGGCAATTTGCACACTTAGGAGGAGCCTTTGATAGCTGACAGCTCTCCTTTGAGAAAATATGTCCTTTTTCTCCACAGTGCACACAGCGTGGTTGGCCCTTGCAGTTGATTTTTATATGACCGAATCTAAAACATTGGTTGCATCGTGAGACTCTTGAAATGTATGGTGAGACAGGATATCTAACATGGAACATCGTAACGTGTTTGGGGATCTTCTGGCCCTCAAAGTAAGCGACACAGTGAGAGAAGGAGTGTAATTACTGGATGAGTTAGCATGTTCTTGAGAATTGTTGGCAAAGGGTCTTGAAATCCTGCGATTCAGTCTGTTGACTGCCGTGCAGTGTCCAATCGTTCGTTGTCCAATCGTGCAGTGTCCAATCGTTCGTTGTCCAATCGTGCAGTGTCCAATCGTTCGTTGTCCAATCGTGCAGTGTCCAATCGTTCGTTGTCCAATCGTGCAGTGTCCAATCGTTCGTTGTCCAATCGTGCAGTGTCCAATCGTTCGTTGTCCAATCGTGCAGTGTCCAATCGTTCGTTGTCCAATCGTGCAGTGTCCAATCGTGCGGTGTCCAATCGTGCAGTGTCCTATGATGCGGTGTCTAATCGTGCAGTGTCCGATCGTGCGGTGTCCAATCGTGCAGTGTCCAATCGTTCGTTGTCCAATCGTGCAGTGTCCAATCGTTCGTTGTCCAATCGTGCAGTGTCCAATCGTTCGTTGTCCAATCGTGCAGTGTCCAATCGTTCGTTGTCCAATCGTGCAGTGTCCAATCGTTCGTTGTCCAATCGTGCAGTGTCCAATCGTTCGTTGTCCAATCGTGCAGTGTCCAATCGTTCGTTGTCCAATCGTGCAGTGTCCAATCGTGCGGTGTCCAATCGTGCAGTGTCCTATGATGCGGTGTCTAATCGTGCAGTGTCCGATCGTGCGGTGTCCAATCGTGCAGTGTCCAATCGTTCGTTGTCCAATCGTGCAGTGTCCAATCGTTCGTTGTCCAATCGTGCAGTGTCCAATCGTTCGTTGTCCAATCGTGCAGTGTCCAATCGTTCGTTGTCCAATCGTGCAGTGTCCAATCGTTCGTTGTCCAATCGTGCAGTGTCCAATCGTTCGTTGTCCAATCGTGCAGTGTCCAATCGTTCGTTGTCCAATCGTGCAGTGTCCAATCGTGCGGTGTCCAATCGTGCACTGTCCAATAATTTGGTGTCCATTTGTGCAGTGTCCGATCGTGCGGTGTCCAATCGTGCAGTGTCCAATCGTGCGGTGTCCAATCGTGCAATGTCCAATCGTGCCGTGTCCAATCGTGTAGTGTCCGATCGTGCAGTGTGCGTGTCCCATTGTGCGGTGTCCAATCGTGCGGTGTCCAATCGTGCAGTGTCCAATCGTTCCGTGTCCAATACTACGTGTCCAATCGAGCGATGTCCAATCGTTCCGTGTCCAAACGGGATACGCCCGTCCGGCATTATCATCCGAATAACGATTGTTGCGAATATTATCTGTCAGTGTAATAACTGATCCGATAACTGAGCCAGGATGTGAGTGTGAGATAGTGTTAACGCTCTCGTCCGATTTCGAGCGACAAGTCTTAACCGCAGGAGGATGTATCTCCTGTCCACCGGAACGCTTGCCACGATCTTTTTTGTTCGTAAAGGGCGTCGAACGAGCTTCTGAGATCAACGAGCTAAGGGCAGCCTCAAATTGAGGGTCCTCGTTTTCTTTATCCATCTCCGTGTCCATTGTTAGAGAGGAATGTAATTGTAGTAGTAGTAGTCGTAGTAGATGTATTACTCACTTATTTATTTACTTGCAGATTCCGAGTCAATCCCGCGTGGATCGGAGGATCCCTCCTCTGGGGGAGTAAGAAATTTAAGGTGAAAACAGGAAGGATATAAGATGAGAGTAGAGAAGGAGCGAGGAAAGACGGAATTCTCTCGAGAAAGCTGAGAAAGTTTGGCGGCAAAAGCCGCAGACAATGGCGAACAAAGGCGAACAAAGACGTCGTCACAGTCGCACTCGAAGATGTTGAAATAAGGGAACGGCAAGCTTCTGAACGCCGGATTTTCACTATTCCCGATGTGGCACTCGATAGTGAGGCGGTTCAGGACTGGATAAAGCACTCTAGAAAGTCTAAAATCACGCTAATTTGACAATTTTGCAGGAGGCACTCAAAAGTACGTCTAAACGCTAATTATGCCAAGATGGCGCTCCGTCACCATGCTACCGCGTACCGCTTGATACGTATCATATACGTATGCACGC